GGGTTTAACCGACTCAAGACATAGCCCAAACACACAGTTCATGTTACCCAAGAAAGAAAGTATACACAATGCAGCTGCAAGGAAACATACCCTTCAGTAGCCCAGCGTTAAATCTCGGGGTTACGACCCTAAAAATAGGATTCATAGCACAAATACTCCATTGTGTAGTTTTGTGCTTTAGAACAACAAAACCAAGGAACAACATATCTCACATTTCAATTCATCTAATACTTAGCTCAGTTTTAACATACGTAAAGCAAAAGACATGCAGCTCAATTTCCTAATTACTAGATACTAATTATTAAATAGTTTTCTTTAATCTACGTTCGGATGTTAATCTGCTGTCATCTACAAGCAAGTCTGAGGTGGACTTTTTTGTGTTGGTAGTGGCTAGAATTCCATCACGATAGCGCACTAACCTGTCTAACAAAGGATGTCTGTGCGCTGTCCATTAGGACATTAGTCAACTAATTTAAATGTTTTCAAGTGAGTTATCTCAGTTTTGCTTATTTTTATGCTGGATTAGTTGATTTTGTTATCAGTTTGGTGGATGTAGAAGACATATTTATCTTTCTTTCTATCCTGTGTGTTTCGGTTCATACCCTATTATTTTAGTATTATTCCAATTAATTGTAGGATCTTCTTCTCTCACATGATAGGCTATTGCAGACACGTCGGTACTGTAGAGTCTTGTGTGTCTATTATGTTCCTCAATTCTAAATTCTGTGGATCGTTTTGTTTCTTTAACGTATTAGAGCCCGTATTCACAAGTGATGTTGTTAATAGTGTTTTTGCCCTCTATTAGTTCTTAAGTGATTTGATCTGTACTAACTGCGATCGTATTGTGTTGTAAGTTCTGTAGTGTTTTGCATTTATGCTGTTTATATATAATCTCTGTGTGTTTTCAGAAAGACTTTTGATATGTGGGGAATTTCACCGTTTGTCTGAAATAATTTTATTCCTTCTATATTTTCATTTTTACTAAGTGTTTTGGATATTCATCATCACTGAAGGTTGTAAGTTCTGTCAAAATACGCACATCCGTTTAAACTTCATACTAACCGCTTTAATATCATGACGAAATTCACATAAAGTATCTAAATTCACTCACTCATTCTCAAAATAAGAAGTTCCTAACACTACAAACACACTTAAATACACAGTAATAAAATACAGTAAACGACCATAAACAGAATTGTTTGTTCTATGTTAAGCATAAAGCTATACAATCGACTACCAGTACTCTGCTCATCGCAGGAATAGAAACATATTTATAACGAGTTAAGCCCTCAGACTTACCGCTGGGCTACCGGAGGGGGGGGGACAATTACCAGAACCTGAAGAAGGTGCATTAAGTAAAGAACTAAAGCTGGCCTAAACATATGATAAAATACCCGCTGTAGATATACCTGCAACCACAGAAGATACACCTTACAGCCTATCAGAAGGAGAAAACGAACTCAGAATACACCTTAAGTCAGTGATCCATGACCCGTGAAATGTAAATCTTTCTACAATATCATCTTTATAGAAAATAAAACATCTTCAAAAACTTAAAGAAAGACAACACCATAACACTTCTACCAGCAGACCATTGTAATCATGGACAAAGAGTCAAACTCCACAGTCAAACTCCAAAATGTAGTATGAAGGTCAATTCTAACCCACACAGAGAATAAAATTAACTAATTCCTCAATAAACTTCATAAGGAACTTGGAACAATCAAACAACCATCATTACACCACATCACATATACATAGTCTATATAACATTTACAGCAAGGCTACTCTATCCATCTCACAATGAACCGTAGAGGCTCATCGTGTTACCCTTTAGCTAGATATCTGGTAGATATAATATCATCAATGACAGGTAAAACATCTTCCCGTGTTAAGTATTCAGCACACTTGTAGAGAGTTATTAAAAAAAACACTATAATCTTATAAGATATAAATATCAGTCGATTTTTCTAACCTATCCACCAACGAACCAAATCCTAAAACGGTGCAGCTTGAAATGATAGAACTCTCAAGGAACGCCCCCCCATTGATAACCTACACGATAATAGATCTCACAGCTTTCTGTATGAATAAAAACAAAACCTACTTCCTACATAAAAGTAAATACTACTAACAGCAACACCAGTACTCAGTAACCTCTACATGGAAGATTTTGAAAATAACGCCCTCAAAACTTCCACTTTGAGACCCAGGAAGTTGTCTCAGATATTCTGACGATACCTTCATAAATATGGCCACACGCTACAAGCAAAAGTAAAAAAAATTCACGAAGTTCTTAAACAGATAACATTTCACCATTCAGTTCATAAAAGAAAAAGAATAAGATAAAAATACTCAATTCCTAAACGTGATGGTTATCAAGACAAATATACCACAATATGTTACAGGAAACCCACAGCTACGAGTAAATATCTTGATTATTAATCAAACCAGCCCAACAATGTAGAGATGTGCGTTACAAACTGTCTAGTTTCAAGTGTGAACAAGAATTGTAGTACTGGAGATACCAAGAACCTCCTTGACAATTGAAACCCGGAACACTTGATAAAAAAAAAGATAAACGGCATTCATAACCAGAAAGAAATATTAGACCTGCAGCGATATTCATGTTTGTAAAAAGTCTCTCGAAACACTTACAGAGAATATGTAAACACCATAGTGTCAGAACAGAGTTCAAAAGTCACAAAACAATACAATCTTAGTCAGTACATACCAAACAACCCATAGAACCACTAGTGAGCAAATGTACCGTTTATACATTGGAGAAACAAAACGACCAACAAATTTTAGAAATTGGGAGCATAATAGGCATACAATACTCTGTAATACAGATCTGTTTGCAATAACTCATCATGCGAGAGAAGAATACTATATAATAAATTGTAATAATAGGATGTGAACCACACACGAGTAAAGAAAGAAAGATACAAATAAGCCTTCTTCAACCATTTAACTATAATAAAATCAACCAACTTAGAACAAAAGTAAGCAAAACCGAGATACCCCACTTGAAAATTAGTTGAGTAAGGTTGTAATGAATAGCATACAAGCTTCACTATCAAGAAAATCCAGGATCGAATCCCAGTCAATGCCACCACAGAAATAGACCTTCAGTCTGCATTCACCGACTACAGTAGCAAATTATTAGCCGACACGAAATTAAGAAAAACATTGTAAGTAGATTAACAATTAAGCTGTGGTGAAAGTATAGGCTTCCAACCACGACAATAATATACGCACACTGTTGACCATATCTAAGAAATAACTCATACACAATTTAATTTGCTCGAAAAATAACACACGCGTAGTTCGTCTTACCTTTAGTTTTAAGAGCTTCTTGAACAGCGCTGCTAATGTCGTCATAGGTCATGCAGGTCTCTGTTGGTGTTGTAACTATCTTTAAGCTGTCAATTTAGATAATGGCATACACTGTTTAACTCATGATGTTAGAAAAACACTTAGGTTTTAAAAATTAATTAAAGACAAAAATACAAAATCATATAACCCAATGTTTAACTTCATTATTTCCTTCATCATCCTTTCGTAGTCTATCTATCTATTATTATCTGATAACATCAGAAATATAGATCAAAATAATGCCCTAAATATTATTTAGAAAAAATATTACGTTATCGGCATGTGTAAATTTTTCCATTAAACTTGTAAGGTAAAATATGATGAGTAACATTGAGAAGCTGTATAGTTTTTCATATAATGTGTTTCTAAGACATTGGAATACTTCAAAAGTCATGCATTGTGTGTGAAAAGACTTCTTTTCCTGATGAGTTCAGTTTGTCCTTTTGAATAGCTGGCAGTTACATGCGTGCCTAGTCAAAAACATGACTAAGGCTGAGATTTGTATCGACAAGCTTGGTAATTCTTCCCCTTGTTTTGTACTCTAGCGTCAACGTTAAAAACACCTTCTTGAAAAACAACATAGTAAAGTTAAATTTGTTTGTTATCACAGTCTTAGCATGTTCATGCATTGTGGTAAAGACGCTGGCAGCCGTATTGTCTTACACCAAAGTCTGTCAGCTATGTGTATAGGTGTTAGCTTAAGTATTCTTGTAACTGATGTATTTATGTTATGTTGAATAAAAATCTATGTGTTCAGCTTTGTCAGTGTATGATAATAGTAAAAACGAGTTATGAATCCTGAATGGCAATGTTAAGTAGAAACGTCATGTTGGGTGTAATATTTAGGATATTAGTATTATTTTTATATGCCAAACTATACAGAGTAGTAATAATACACTTACAACCTTGATTATGTGTGTTTGGTAATAATTACAGCGTACTGATTAATGTTCATAGTGCTGAATAATCTTGAATCTTGATTTAGATTGTATGTGTAATAATAGCAACGCTGCTCGAAGATTTTTGGGTATTATATGTTGGGTAGATAAATGTTTTTCCCATATTGCGTGTAAAATAAAAGGTATATTGTGTAGAGTATCCTGAAAAACAGGAATATAACAATCTTATCTGTTGGGTGGAAGACAAGAACTTAAGACATTTGCCATATTTTGAATGATAAGTGAAAGATAACAAAAAACCTGTTACGTCTAATGAAATTGTTAAAAATAAAAAAAACTGCTTTATCTTGAAAAGTATGTGAAATTAATTGTAAATAAAAACTTTATTAATGTTGGGGTGAAATATAATAGTAAAACAATGTGTGATACTTTGAAAGTAATGTGAAGATACCTATAACTTAAAAGCCATTTGTTAAAAACTGAATGTTATGCAAACAAATAAATAGTAATAGCATGTTCTTAAGCATTAAATGCTATGTTTAAAATTATAGTAAGAACATTTATTGATCCTGGAATGTAACGAATTTACAGTACATTTGTTGAAGCACACATGTTATGTGTATAATAGACAAAGTTGGGTTAATCTAATAGAAAAGCTGAGCGTTGGATCTTGGCTTTCCTATGTAATATGGTTGTAAAGTAATATGACTTGAGCATGTGTATGTGTGTGTGTGAGTGTATGTGTGTGATATAAGAAATGTGGAACTTCTATTCGTCGTGCAGAAATTCACTGTGGTAGAAGAATTTAGGGGTTATGGAGGCTTAATTTACTATAACGTATAAACATGTAACTAGGGGGTTATGGAGGCTTAATTTACCAACAACGTATAAACATGTAACTAGGGGTTATGGAGGATTAATTTACCAACAATGTATAAACATGTAACTAGGGAGTTATGGTGGTTTAATTTACCAACAACGTGTAAACATGTAACTAGGGGGTTATGGAGGCTTAATTTACCAACAACGTGTAAACATGTAACTAGGGGGTTATGGAGGCTTAATTTACCAACAATGTATAAACATGTAACTAAGGAGTTATGGTGGTTTAATTTACCAATAATGTATAAACATGTAACTAGGGAGTTATGGTGGTTTAATTTACCAACAACGTATAAACATGTAACTAGAGGGTTATGGAGGCTTAATTTACCAACAACGTATAAACATGTAACTAGGGGTTATCGAGGCTTAATTTACCAACAATGTATAAACATGTAACTAGAGGGGTTATCGAGGCTTAATTTACCAATAATGTATAAACATGTAACTAGAGGGTTATGGAGGCTTAATTTACCAACAACGTATAAACATGTAACTAGAGGGGCTATCGAGGCTTAATTTACCAATAATGTATAAACATGTAACTAGAGGGTTATGGAGGCTTAATTTACCAACAACGTATAAACATGTAACTAGAGAGGTTATTGAGGCTTAATTTACCAATAATGTATAAACATGTAACTAGAGGGTTATGGAGGCTTAATTTACCAACAATGTATAAACATGTAACTAGAGGGTTATGGAGGCTTAATTTACCAACAACGTATAAACATGTAACTAGAGGGGTTATCGAGGCTTAATTTACCAATAATGTATAAACATGTAACTAGAGGGTTATGGAGGCTTAATTTACCAACAACGTATAAACATGTAACTAGGGGTTATCGAGGCTTAATTTACCAACAATGTATAAACATGTAACTAGGGAGTTATGGTGGTTTAGTTTACCAATGATGTATAAACATGTAACTAGGGAGTTATGGTGGTTTAATTTACCAAAAACGTGTAAACATGTAACTAGGGGGTTATGGAGGCTTAATTTACCAACAACGTATAAACATGTAACTAGGGGGTTATCGAGGCTTAATTTACCAACAAT